TACAACTAAATCAATAAAATTAAGAATAAAGAAAGATAGTTATAACCCTCCTCCATCTCTCCGATCATGGAATGAAAGAGTAGTAGAGTAAAGACAATTTATATATAGTTCCCAATGATTTTTTTTTTTTTTTTTTATTTATTTATATGATATTTACTACTGTATACAAAAAATATATCTGGTAAATTCGCACATTGGTATAAAGACATGGAACACATGTTGAGAAACTACCCATTGGTAGCACTCTAATAATATGTCTATATCAGAAGATCACGTGGCCATCTTCTTTTCAGACGCCTCGGAGGGTTATCAGGAATCGAATAGGAAGCAAGGTTAGAGACAAGAGGGTTGGGATGGTTATGAAGTTTATTATGGAAGGACAGATATCTGGATTGGGCCAAATCTGATACATAAGGAACATTAAGGTCATTATGGATAATTTTATTTGTAACAAAGTAAGGAGCATTGAGGATTTTACGAAGGATTTTGGATTGTAAGGATTGTATGCGAGAGGAATTTGAAGGTTTGGTGGAGCCCCATAGCTCAACTCCGTAAGTCCAAATAGGCCTTATTATAGTCATGTAAATGAGTCTTTTATAATTGATTGGAAGGTTAGAGCGTTTGTTTAGTAAGTGTTGAAGTAGTCGGAAACGTCGAGCTGTTTCTTGTCGTTTCAGTCTGGTATGAGGATTCCAAGTTAGACGTTTGTCCAGATGGAGTCCTAGGTAACGGATTTGTTCAACAGGAATAAGTGAGGTGTTGTTAAAGGGTACTGAAGATCAGGAAGTCATTGGTTTACGACGAAGGGTGAAGGTAATTTGATGGGATTTATTGGAATTTATTTTAATTCTCCAGTTCTGACACCATTCTTCAAGGTTTGTGATGTGGGATTGAAGGGTTTGGGATGCAATAGATGGATCGCTATTAACTGATAGGATACATGTGTCATCAGCATATGTGGTGATGACAGCCCAATGATTTTAATTAAAAATCTATTGTGTCCACTTACAAGACTTTCCTATATTTAAAAAAAAATACAACTTTAAATGTGAGAGGGGTGCAACCAGATCAGGAGCGCGTAAAAGCCATCCGAGAAGCACCATTACCTAAAAACGTTCGAGGGGTCAGGCGGTTTTTGGGAATGATAAATTACTACAGAATTTATTCCTGGTATAGCGGAATTAACGCACCCATTAACCGAAATTTTGAAAAAAGGGAAACGATTTCAACTAAGCGCTGAGCATTTAGCAAGTATCAAGAAATGCAGAGAGATTCTTACCACGAGACCGTTGTTAGCATTTCCTCATTTTAATAGAATATTCAAAATTAGCACGGATGCAAGTGAGGTCGCTATTGGGGCGGTCCTATCACAGAATTTTGAAGAAGGTGGAAAACCCATTGCATACGCGGGCAGGAAACTAAACGATGCTGAGAAACGATACTGCCACACAGTAGTGTGGGCAGTAGAACATTTTCGTCCATACGTATACGGGAGACGGTTCGAGTTGTTAACTGACCACAAACCTCTAATATACCTAGGTACACTTAAAGAATCGTCAGCACGGGTATCGCGATGGAAAGAACGTCTCGCGGCATATAACTTCAATACGGTGCACAAAAAAGGAGTCGAAAATGTCGTGGCCGATTGGTTATCACGAGATTTAATAGTCAATGCAATCGAGGAAGAAAATATTCCCGTGGAACTGTTAGCCCTAAGATCGCGAGAATGGACGCAAAGTGAGCCCGAAGGCTCACCAGTTGACAGTGAATCGGAGGAAAACGTCATCTCGACGGATAGACCCCAGGAACTACCTGAAATAGATGAGATTGTCAATGATAAGAAACTTCAGATAATCATTAAGTCAAAGCTGGGTTCTGGGACGGAAACGCGGAGGAGCGTGTATGAGGGTTTGGCAACTATAATAGTCCGTACGCCTGCATCAATAAACGAAGCCGAACTGGAACGAATCTTCGCGGAATTCAGCAAACCCGGTCGCAACTGTTACGTGTATTTAGGAAATCGGACAATCCTGGACAAATTAAAGAGGTTGTGGAGGCAGGAAAGGGTAGGAATGGGGTATCCCTTAATTCGATGTTTAAGGCAAGTGGAGACGATCACCGATCCAGCGGCGCAATTAAAACTTGTTAATGAACATCACACGGGGAAAACGAACCATAGAGGAATAGAAGAGACACTGCGTGCGTTAAAATTATTATACTACTGGAAGAATATGGGCCGAACCGTACGCGAGTGTATTACGCAGTGCGAAGTATGCCAGCGAGCAAAGTATGATCGCCAACCCCCGGTAGCACAGCAGGTAGCCACACCCACCGCGACTGAACCTCTGCGATCAGTACAAATTGATATCTATTCAAATGAAGCGCAATCGTGGTTAACGGCGATAGATACGTTCGCAGCAAGCAATCGCAATGGCCTACCCCATCGAATCGAAAACACCTAGGGCAATATGGGAGGGAGTATTACAATGGTGTGCGACGTACGGTGTACCCGACGATATCGTATCGGATTGTGGAAGAGAATTTGATAATTCACTAATTCGGGACGAAAGCAAAACGTTGGGTATCACGTGGCGGTTGAACACTCCGCATCATATTAAGGGTAGAGGCAGTGTGGAACGGCTACATAACACATTAGGGGAACACCTTAGGTTATTTAAATTGGGACGAAATCTTGACCCATACGACGCTATGCCGCGCGCGGTGATCGCATATAATAACACGATACACGCAGCGACGGGGTTATCCCCCGTTGAAATCGTTTTTGGCCAAAGACGGCGGGACAGAGGCGACTTAATCACGGTCAATAGTACTGACCTAAAGGCGAATCTATACAGGGCGAGAATAGATCGCCAAGGAACGTGGGCAAAGATTAGAGAAAGGTTGATCCGCAAAAAACAGATTCGAGTGGATAGAGCGAATAACCGATCTGTAGTTTATAAGAAGGGTCCGTTGGCGCTGCTTACTGTTGTATATAGGCGATTAAGAACCGCTAGGAATAAAACAGCTGCGCGTTATGAGGGTCCCTATAAAGTGATAACAATAAGAGAAAATAATTTGTTTACCATCCGGGACGTAAAATATCCATTTCGGTCACGAACGGTTCACTTAGAAGAACTTCGCGTACCCCATATAGTGTCGTAACTCGAGCTGGGCGGTTACACTCAGCAGAAGACGTCACGATACTAAGAATATATTATTTTTACGTGTAATTAAGAATAGTTGCAATTATTGTGAGAGTCAAAAATTGAAACATTCAGATTTATTTGGTAAACTTATTTGTGATTCTTCTATTAATTATAAGAGTATTACGTTTAGAATAATTTATAGTCTAAGGATTGGACACTTCTGTTTCTATTGCAAAGTAAGTGATATCATTAAGATCAGTGTAACCTTTTTATTCTTTTTTTTTTTTTGTTCCAAATAATTTTTATTATTTAGTTAAGTGTTAACCTTTCCTTCTTTATTTTTTTTTCTCTTCTGCTAATATTTTTTTTTTTAGTTCCTCCATACAAAGGAACTGGAGGGAGGGAGTTAACTGTATATAGGATGTATATAAGATTATTCTTTAGATAAGCTAAATAATTGTTTAAAACACATGTTGTTAAAACACATGTTAATATAGAGAATTGATATAAACAAAAGGTGAGGTTACAAAAGTGTTGTATTAATACAGTGTAGAAAACTTATGTAAGTGTTCGAAATAAAACCACTTCATTCCCACAAGCTGTGTTGTTATTTCTTCAGTCGAATCATAACTTATATATATATAGAATATCTCTGTTCTATATATATGCTATACAGATGTACACGTGAAATGTATTCAATGAAAAATTAGAGAGATTCCGCTGAAAAATAGGCAAATACTGCTGCTAAATTAAAAAAAAAATTGTAATTTCAATTACCCACCTTCCTCCCTAAGGTCGATGGCGCATGAAGCTTTTAGATAGATAGAAAGCTTTATTTCATATAAATTTTACATTTTCCTCTAAATAAATAAAAATTGTTAAAGGTTTTCTTCCTTTGAAATTGGATTAAGGGGCTGAAATGTTGGTGCACAAGGGTGTCCAAAAGGGGGTTTCATGGTTCATGTTGCGCCATTACAATTTTTGAGGGTTCATATTTTGACGGGTTTTTGAATTTTTGAGGGGGGGGATTTCGATGGACTAAGGGAAAAGGGGAAAAACATGGAACATACCGAAGCAAGTGTAATTGTATATTATCTAAGATTTTTCCAATTCTACCTTGGCTTGCTCTGTTTTTAAGAATAGGTGAGCAATAAAATATCTTGGGATTGAGGGAAAGGTTCTTACTCCATCGACCTTAGGGGTGCACCTCTGCTCGATAATCTCAATGACTGACCAACGGAGTAAGGTAGGACCATTGGAATACATATTAGATATGCCAGTAAAGGCCTAGATCAATATATGTTGTTATGGAGGATTCCTAACGATTCTAAAATAATTGCTTCTGTCATAGTCTGCATCTGCTTCCTTTCAACATCGAGCCTCTGCAAGAAATAAATTGTATTAAGTTCCGTACCCCTGCTTCTGAACCGTAGCCCTTTACCTAAGTATTCTCTCTCACCAAATTCATATCTGTAATTACTTTAGCTAAGGTATGAATTTCGTATAAATTTCTTCTTTCTCTGCCTGTACCTTGACGTTCTGATCCTGATCGTTGGTTTTAAATCTTTTCCGTCGCATTGAACGCCAAGTGTCAATGAACCTTGTTGAGCCCTCTTTATTGAGACAGTAAACTTCGAGGAAACATTTATAGTTTTTTATTTCATGGAATTCGGCTATAATATATATATATATATATATATATATATATATATATATATATATATATATATATATTCATACGCGCTTTCCTACTGTATTAAATTTTTCATTTTCTTTAATCAACATAAAGTTTGATAATAAATTTATACTTTGTTTTCATAATTTTTCTTTTAATTTTTAATGTTTTTTCGATAGCCGGCTGGATTGAGAAAAACGTTCTTTGGTGGTTGCAGGAGGATTCCTGCCAAAAATTTAAGTTATCATGTTCAGGAGACGCTCAATACATGTTTAACTGCTCTCATTATTATGAAAAAACGAAAAAGCCCTTCTTAATGATCGAGGAGACATCGGATGATATATCTGATGTAAGTATTAACTTATTAAGCCTAAATAAAAGCTGCTTTAAAGCTACATTAGTCATATTTTAGTTTTTAAAAAGTATCTCACATTTTGTTTTTTAGAATTAACATGCATATTCTTAATTCATTAACATTTTCAATGTACTCATTTTGTGTTTCAACTATTTTATTAATCACTTGAGCTTTACTTATTTATTCATGTTTTATATTGTAAGTTAATAATTGAGAACCGCCAATTGTCCGAACCGAATAATTGTGAGGCGATTATTGGTTTTCGAAAAATGTCAAAATCTGCAAAAAATGTTATTGTTATTGTAATAAAGGTTTCAATGTTGAAAATATTTTTTATTTTATTTTTTTTTTGTTAAGCTTAGCATTTTTCCTTATTGCTCAGATTACTTTTTTTTTATTGATAAATATTACAATCTGTCTCAATAAAGGACATTTATAATAGAGTTCTGAGAGCACATTCACACCATATTTACAAATTAAAAAAAAAAAATAAGCTAACTTCAAATAATATAAAGCTACAAAAGAACAAAATAAAATATCATAATGAGAAAAAAAAAAAAAAAGTAATGAAAATAAACATCTTAGACGCAGGCATACCTATTACACTATTTACAGTCGGCCATAGGAATTCCGAACCACACTTATCCCCCCACATGTGGAGGGAAAGCAAGGCTTCAGGAGATCCCTGCGCTTCTTGCTCAACCATTTCACTGGCATTGAAAGCCAGCGGAGATTGAGTAAGGGCGCTACAACCACGGACACTCATGACTTGAGTGGAGAATCTGGCCATTGCCAGAACTCCAGTATATACATGTTACAAAAGGTCACGGGGCCACTGCCGTTTCAGCCTGCGAGGAGGATTGTAGGGATGAGTGGTGCTAGATAGGGATTGTGCTACGGGATTAGGGTGATGGGTAAGGTTCTGATGAAATTCGGAGAATTTGTCTGGGATAAGATCAAGAATAAATGGAATATTAAGGTCATTATGCAGGGTTTTATTGGTGACAAAAGTAACTTTAATTTTTTTTATTTGAAATAATTAACCACTAGTAGTCTATATAGCTGGCCATAACGTCGGTTAAGTTTCTGTCTTTTCACTCTAGTATGCGGATTCCACGTTAGTCGTCTGTCTAGGAGAAAACCAAGGTACCGGACTGTGTCGCAGAAGGGAAGCTGAATGGTATTAAAGTAAACTGGTGGACAGGAATTACGACGAAGGGTGAAGGTTATATGTTTACATTTGGATTCATTGACTTTGATGCGCCATTTCTTGCACCAGTGTTCAATCAAGGATAGGTGCCGTTCCAGGTTTCTGGGCGCTATTTCAGGATCTGAGTTAGAAGATAGGATCGCAGTGTCATCAGCGAAAGTTGCCAGGAGTGTATCGGGATGGACGAGAATGTCAGCGGTATAGATGATGTAAAGGATGGGATCCAAGACGCTGCCTTGAGGAACTCCAGCCTCAATTGAATAACAGTCGGAAAATTCTGTACCACAGCGAACTGGAGGTAGGATTGGAGTATTAGGTATAAGGACTGTGGTAGATGGGATTTGAGCTTGAAGAGCAGTCCGGCGTGCCACACGCGGTCAAAAGCTTGCGCTATGTCGAAAAATGCCCTCGAGCAAAACTGCTTGTTTTCAAGAGCTGAGGATATGTGGTCAACAACTCGGAGTCCTTGTTGGACGGTAGAATATTGGGAACGGAATCCGAATTGATGGGTAGGGATTTTACGGGAGTCTCTTATGGGTAGGATTCTTTTCAGGAGGGTCTTTTCAAAAATTTTTGAAAGAATTGGGAGTAGGCTAATTGGTCTATAGGATGATGTATTATTGGGAGGCTTGCCTGGTTTCAGGAAAAGGATGATGGTGGAATGTTTCCATAGGAGAGGGAAGTGGGTAGTTCGGAGGATACAATTGTATATATAGGTTAGAAATATGATGGCTTTGGATGGTAGTTGTCGTAGGATCTGCGGGGTTAGAAGGTCGTATACAGGAGATTTACGAGGAGTGATTTTGCGTAATAGGTATTTGACCTCAGAGCGATTAACTGCTTTAGGTGGTAAGGAGAGTGGGATAGGTGAAGAAAGAAATTCTTCTACTTTTACTGTGTGGCTCAGATTACTAAGAATGAAGAAATTGAGAATCAACAAACATGTCTTTTCATTAAAAAAAGTCTCGTAATAACCGCTCAATTGATCAACTTATAGTGTTTTTATAACCATTAACTTATAGTGTCTCTATATAAGATGACAGTTATTTCATTTCTATCATTTCAGAGTTCTATTTTAAGAACACACGGCATAGTAGATAAAAACCCTCCGTTTATAAGAAATAACGATTCTTCGTTATCTTTAACATTTCGTTTAGATACTTGATTGGAAATAATGAACAGTGAAGATCATTTATGCTTTCTCATGATCACTCCGATCAAACAGAGGCAGAGTAAAAAGTAGTTTTATTAGTAGGAAAATTATTGTGAAAAACGGGAGAAAAACATGAAATTGAAGCCTATATACCCTTTTGCTTTTTCTTCAGCGAAATCTCTGAGATTCATTTAAAACAGGTCAAATGTGCTAAAGAAAAATTTATATTTACTGTGTGAAGTTATAAAATATTATTTTTTAATTTTTTTTTAAGAAGAGAATTTTTCAAATTAGTAGACCCAAAGGTGTCTTTTGCACATTTACTAGGAGGCAAGAACGGAATAACTAATTTGAGATCCTGCCGGAACAACGGTGTACATCTCAAGATCCTCAATCCCACCCTCAACACCCTTCTATTCGAATTTCACCTAATCCTCAAAAATTATATCAATACACTCCTCCTCCATTAAATACCACAGTTCTCACCAGTTTACTTACATCTTTCCTCTTCGAATTCAGATCTCTTGTTAATCCTTTTATATCTCTTCTCGCCAATCTTGTATCACATTTTATCCCTCTCCAAAAAACCCTTAAATGACTAATAATAAATCTACATCTCTTCTCCTTTGGAATGGTGTTAGAAATCATACGAACTATCTGCTTTATTACTTGACAGAAAAGGCCGTGGATCAGCTGATGGGAAGGTTGTGCTCTCAACTGGTCTCTCAGCATTTACCTATTTTTCAGCGGAATCTCTCTGAGTTTTGATTGAATACTGTTCACGTGTACATCAGAGCAGTTGATATTTGCTGTTTGATATATTTTTTATTATCACTAAGTAATGCTAAGTAAGGTGCCCCCTAAGAGGACTCGGTCTAGGACGGCCCTACCCCTCGTGATAAACCAGCCAAAGAAAGAAATCGTCGCTGCCTACGAGAAACACCCCCGATGACCACAGTGAACACTTTAGATCCAGAACCTCAGCCTCAACCAGGTACGTCTTCGCAAGAAATCGTTGAAGGATCCTCTTTCTTTACTGCAAACCCGTTCCTAGGAACTGAAGCTTCACGACACCAGGTACTGCTGAAACCTATCGAAAAATAGTTCCTATCAGAAACGAATGCGAATTTTCATACGAACCAGCTTAGGCAGGAGAGATCGTTACAAGTAGTTACAAGAAATTTGGACGGTAGAGCACATGCCGGTACTGCTGTTTCATTGTACACCACTCCCTTTCTCATCACCAGCTTCCATTACCGACTCAAGATTTCCTACAAACCACCGCCATCGTAATCGAAACCTTCTCCTTTCCCGTCACCATAGCATCAGCATATTGCCCTCCTAACAGATCCATATCCAATATCCAGTTCAGTTCTCTTCTCAACTGCTTAGGATATCACTTCATCCTGGGTAGATATTTAAAGGTCACACATCATCAATGGGTTTCAAGAACCACGGGTTCTCGTGGTAGAACATTGTTATCTGCACTCAATTCCCAACGTTTCAGTATCCTTCCTCCTAACTCACCTACCTACTGGCCCACAGATCCTAACCGCAATCCCGATATCCTTATTTTTTTTCAATCACAGTGGCTAAGTCCCCTCAATCATTCCCTTACCCGTCTTGACGAACTTTCCTCAGATCATAGTCCATTTTTACTCCCATTAATTACATTTCCTCACCACCACTAATCAACAAGCAATTTGCACTGTTTCCTCTCCAAACCACTCCCCAAGAACTCCCAAGAAAAATATGTTAACTCAGCTCTTCATAGACCTGAGGAATTCGCCAAACATTTTTCCTTACATTCCCCACTCATCTGGAATCCAACCCCACCCACACTTCAGCAGTTGAGGAATGCCTAAATTCACCCATATCACTCTCCTTACCACCTAAAGCAGTTAATCCTTCTGAGGCCATATATCACTTACAAAAACTACCTCCCCGCAAATCACCTGAATACGACCTCCTTAACTAATGACACCGCCATTCTATCATCCGACGCAGATCCGGATATAGCATCCTTAAACCTTCAAATACACCTCTAGTTGATTGAGCACTGGTATAATAAATGGCGTTTTAAAGTAAATGAATCCAATTGCCAACTCATTAGCTTCACACTCCGACGCAGTTCTTGTCCATCAGTACACCTTAATTCCATCCAGCTTCCTTTCTCAGACCCAGTCCAGTATCTTGGCTTTCTCATAGAAAGATGACTAACGTGGAATCCACATAATACAAAGTTTCTCATTTCCCAGCAACTGGAAAACTGACCTTGTTCGTCCACTAAACAAAACCTCTAATCTCGCAACCTCAAATGATTTCCGTCTAATTTTCCTGCTATCTAACCTTTTCAAACCTTAGGACGAATAGAACAATCACAACTATACCACTATCTCAAACAAAATAACCTTTTGAACTTTTCCAATCCGGTTTTAGACCTGACTACTCAACTCATTCCGCCCTTATTAAAATCTCCCAAGATCTCCACACAGCCATAGAAGAAAGAACATTGGCCATAGACCAACAGACTCTCACCATCCTGATCCTTCTTGATTTCTCAAAAGATTTTGACTCAGTTGGCCATAATACCCTCCTAACTAATATTTGTTTATTTAGAAATATTACATT